ACTTGTGTTTGGGACTGAGCATCTGTGCCTTGGTAACCGAAGCCTTTACTGTGTGAGCCATGGCCTTCGCTACAATCTATTAATGTGTAAACAATGCAGAAACGATTTTACCAAGTTACAGTGTTACTTTTGATTCTAGCATCAGATTTAATTATGCAGAATGATTTATTACAGTTAAGATATAACATCCCAAACTAGGTTTGGCTTGCTGCATTAGAAGATAAGCCGACAATGATAAGACAATGCATCTAGAACTATGACCTCAAGATCCTTGGTAAAGCCGGAATTTCAATTGGGTTCTAGTAATTGGTAGCATAGTGGCGAGAACTTATCCCATATTTTGGGATTTTATGATATTCATTTAAAGATTTTAAATGAGATGGAATTCCAACTGCTATTGCAATCTAATTGGTGGGTTAAATAGTTGGGGTTAAGTTAATTTTTTAGGCACCAGAATGAGAAACAAATCGCATTTCAGAAGATTTTACCAGCAGAGTTGTGAATGCGTGTTTGAATGAACTTTGAAAGGGCTTTAATCTGAGGCCCAACGGGAAATAAAGTATCAAGGCACGTACGTACAATGTGCATCTTAGAACACCTGATCGTAGCACAATTTTAAAACTGTTTAAAAGAGTAGGCTGGTAGGTGTGCACTAGCTAACTCCTGTACTGTTCCTATGATTGTTTGGACTACATCAACCCACCATGGCCGATGTCTGAACTCGACAGAAAAACCGCTAACTAACTGATCTAGTTTATGACATAATACCAGTATAAACACACGAGACATCACATTTGCAGGCCTAATCGACTGTGATATACAGTTCAGGGCTTTGTCACAGGCACTTTTACGTATAACTTCAGCTGAAACGCTGGTATGAAAATGCCGCCTTTTTTAATTAACGAAAGTACACAGCTTCATCAAGAGAAAATGACCAGGCGATCGAACTTGACCAAATAAATAAGAACTAAAATGTTGGCGACTCAAAATTTTGATGCACGCCAGTATCCGCCACTCTTCACTGACTGCTGTGTGATGTCATCGAATCGGTAGTTTTTGCTCCCACGCTTAGTTTCCAAATCATCAGACACCTCCTGTTATGCGAAATTTCCGCATTTCACCACTTGTCCATTTTGTGAACGCAAGTAGACCTGTGACTAAGGTGCCACTCAGGTGTTTCAAACGAAGTTTGTTTGCAGGCTGACAACGTGTGCCTTGACACTTTGGGAAACTAGATGCCAAAGTACTTTTGCATAAAATCGTGTGCAAGGCTCCTCCGTTCTTGTTTTAATACAGTCAACGTGCTACGGAAGCACACGCGGCGCATAGCAAACAGAGCATGTCGCGGCGTTGTGTGCTGATCGTGAATGCAAATTACCTAGACATTTGAGAGGGTGGTCCTAGTGACCTTGAGAAATAGTGTTTTACATTAACACGAACAAGTGGTCGGATGTCCCTTTCTTACGGAAGTATAAACTAAGCATTTTGAATGTGCCGAGTTTTAAATGGCGCCAATTCAAGGTTTTGAAATGATGACAAAAATTCCTTGCGCGTAATTCAATATTCAAGACCTGTGCTTAGTGAGGAAGTGAATGCACTGTTACAAAAAAACTTGGGAGGCGTGGACGAAGTGCTTGTATTTAATTTAATAATCAGCTGGTGGTCCCGGGGTGCTACATAGTTAACGTTTAGAAAAAGGCTTTAAACACTTACCCAACTCATTACATTTACTATTAAATCGTTTCTGACATTCCGGCTACTGCTTGACGTTGCGGATCCCAGACGCGAATCATAACTTAGCTTTCTCAAAATTATTGTGTAGCTGCTCTTTTTAACACATGCGCGAGGCACGAACCGGACCACGTTATTTTTAGCAAAAGCAGACAAACACGTGCATTTTAACAAACAGTCATCACGCCACAACAGTAAGGAATGATCTTACTCATTAAGAATGGTTCACCAATGAACTTTTATTAATGCGAATTCAGTTGCCGTTTTTTTAAACCATTATGTTTATGCTTTTGTACTATATATGGCTCTTAAATCAATAAAAGCAATGAATACCTGCATTGATATTAGATTAACTAAATAAATATTCGATTCCAGCCACTGACAATTACAATTCCAAGAAACCTAATTTTACTCCGACACGATTAATCTCTTCAAAGACTTGGGCAAAAAAGTGTCCACAAATATATGCCAGCAAGATGCAAGATCACACGGATCATTTGAAATGTACCTAAGTTATATTAATGTGACGTATAGGGGCGCAGACAGATTAGACCACCCTGGCCTCAGCCAATCCTCTGTCTCTTTGCGTTCCAATGGCATGCGAGGAAGATATGCAGCCAACCAGAGACAGACACGCATGAGACACAGTATATAACAGGCGTAGACAGTGTGGGGGATGGCGCTTGACGTGAGGTTCAGGCTTGTGATTGGTCAACAATTCCAGTTCTGCAGCACCAGTCTTATTCACACTAGGGCCCGGGTATTCTACATTAATACCTATTGGACGCATATGAGAGCAGGCTTGTCCGTGCAGGTTTATCGAAGATTGATTGGTATTTGTGACTCAACTCAACCTTTTGTTGACCACAATTCCAAAGTCCTCTGTAAAACAAGCAAATACAAACAAAGAAGCATCATGCCAAGAGGGCCGCCTTCTCTTAATATTTTACTTTACCGGTTTCTTTAAGTGTCAACTTTGAATGGAACTGTCCTGTCGCGATCCAGTGTTACAAATTGGTCTATCTCACGTAACTGGAACACGCAATCTTCTGAAATACAAATCAACTGCATTAAAACTGCCATCATGGGTTTAAAAATTAGTTAAAAATAAGGTTTCGGACTGTAGCTAGTGGCTGCATTGTGTTTGAAGAACCTTATCTCCTTTACTGGTACTGGTCACTTAGATGAAAGATCTTAATTGGTTGATGTTGCACCAAAATTTGGTTAAAACAACTTTCATTACACCTTAGAAAACTATTTTTCCTAAAATCAGGAAAACTTCGAAAGCAGCTTTCAGTAACTAGTATCCCAATGTTCATATATTAATAAGAATACTAACTAAATTGACCCTTTTAAATTTTAACTGTGTTTTATTAAAGCTTCATTATTCCAATATTTGATTTGTAAAACTTGAGAAATTGCATTACGTAGGACTCGAGATGTTCCTTGAGTAAGAATAAGAGAATAAAATTATTATGAACTCAGTGTTTGTAAAAAAAAACTGTTTAGGCACTTATAAAACAATGATGTTAATATCGATAAACGATTCACAAAAACAAATCAAATAAAAACATTCTTAATTCATTGCTGCCGCATGAACTACGCACACAACATCCGATTTGTTTGCTTCAAGGACAACATTTTAGTTAACACTTTGATAAACCAAATCCCTAAAACATACCTAAATCTGAGACAGGCCACGTAGTTTAATTTTGCGATGCTGTAAAGCAATATTTACATAAAGTCTGGTGACTTCAAAATACTTATTATTCATTAAATCGTCATTCGAAAACAACATTTACTTCATTGGTAACCGGTACCAAAAGTAACTTAATAAAAAATTGAATACAGAGCAAAAGAAAATGGTCAAGACCTATTGATGTCAGGAATTTTTTTTATACATAACAGAATTGAAAGTGGTGATATCGCAAAATGGAAAAGTCCATTTACGAAAGCACATTGAGCAGTGGGTCAATTAACCATTTGGAAACTAAATATTTCACACAATTTTGAATTAAATTAAAGCTTTGAGGCTGATATTGGAAGAACAAAGCTTTTGCTTATAGGTTATTGTAACGGCGAATTAGTTGAACTGGAGGCTAGAACGACATCAAATCCAAATCCTCATTGACAGTGCCAATAGAACTGGGTTTTTCACATGACTGGAGTGCAGGGATAGGGTGCAACCACACCAGGTCAGGTCGTAAGCCCAGTCATTCCTGATTCTTTAAGTGGCTTAATGGCTTGAGATAAAGACCAGCAACTAGCCAGAGGTAAGGAAGTAATAGATTACGTGCGACAAAGCCTAATTGATGGACTCAGATGCACGAAATTCGACGAAGGTCTCTGGATTGTGGTTTAAAAATAAAACCTATCATGATGTGCCTGGCCTCCTGGTACTAAGGTACGGATATTCTACTAGACCTAGAAGCAGAACGACGATTAAAGGGATTTAACCCGAAGATTCATTACATATGACTCGATAGTGCTTGCCAATAAACCTAAGTTATGGCAACGTGATTTCTAACATTTGTTCTGTAAGCTAATGAAGCTAACAACCTCAGTAAATTCCATCAAGCAAAAACCTTACACCTCACCAAAACATTTCAATAAAATCTCCATGCTGTCATGGTAATGTGTCTTAATATGAGAGCTTGCCTTTTACATAATGGATTCAAGATGGAATGTACTACGCTATTTTTACAGGAATATATTCCTATCTAATACCTCAAAACCACTTGCATTTTTAACTTAATCGTCGGGAGATATTGATAGTGAACTATAATGTCTGCAGGTCAAACTTGTCAATATAGGTTGACCACGGCACTTTACATGAGATCACAATCACTATGTCCATTTGTGAACACTAAGGGGATAAATAAAAAATAAAGTTGAAATTATCTGTTGAATTACATTTTATATAATTTATGGAATAGCACTGCGAATTTATTGTCCACTGTAGCCTAACAATCTTTAGGGTAATTAAAGTGCATAGCATTATCTTTGAGTTCGAGAGCGGAAAAGATCAAGAAGGATTAAAAAGTTCTTTTGTTACTTCACTAAGCTAAATGAAAAGTCGGAGTAAACTAACAATTTACATCTGGAGACGATACAAAATGAGTAGGTAAATGGCGCTATCATTCGTTACTTGTGTTAAATTAAGTTTCTTGAAGGGGTCGCAAAAACTTTCCAGTGGATTCAAAACAGATTAACTTTGCGGCGCGGGGTTTAATTAGTGCGCAAATTTGAGTCTGTGTTGCTGTGTTTTAATGTCGGGGACTCCGGCTTCTGGTTCCGTCGGATCTTTGAATCCACAAAATCCCGCGTCTTCGATACCGCCTGCATCCAATCCAAAAAATAAAGAAATTTATAAATACGATGCACCTTGGAATATCTATTCACTTAACTGGTCGCTGCGACAGGACAAACGGTTTCGTTTAGCTATCGGCAGTTTTATTGAGGAGTACAATAACAAGATCCAAATTGTCACCCTCGATGAAGATCAAGGGGAGTTTGTCGCTCAGCCTGCTTTCAATCACTATTATCCGGCCACAAAAGTAATGTGGATGCCTGATCCAAAGGGAAACTACACTGATCTTCTAGCAACCAGTGGTGATTATCTTCGAATATGGAAAGTTTCAGAAAACCCGACGAAATTGGAATGCACTCTTAATAATAACCAATCCACGGGATTCTGTGCTCCTCTCACCTCTTTCGATTGGAACGAAATGGATCCAACAATTATAGGTGCTTCAAGCGTGGATACGACATGCACTATATGGGGCCTTGAAGTAATTCGGTTTCACTTTTTCTAAAATTTGTGATTCAGACCCAACAAGCCATTGGAAGAACAAGAAGCGTTAATGGACACGTCAAAACGCAGGTCATTGCGCATGACAAGGAAGTCTACGACATCGCTTTTAGTCGTGCTGGCGGAAATCGGGATATTTTTGCGAGTGTTGGTAAGTATTTCACCTGCTTTATTCATGTTGATATTACCATCCTCGTTGCTTTTCGCAGATCCTACGTTTTTTACTACTAGATAACATTTTCAACCGGACTTAATGTTGGATGCTCATGTGTGTGGTTTATTTATTATTAAATCGAAGGAAAGTTGAATGATTTAGGTGCCTTTGTATAACGTTAACAAGTGTTTCAGGTATTGTCATCTTTTAATATTTGAATTTTGGATTACTTCACTTTAAGATAGATTTAAGTTTTGTCGGCTTCCATCAGATATACCATTTGGTTTCAAAATCTTTGAATACCAAACGTAAAATGGCTTAAAAGTTATTATTATCATACTTTGTCTAGGCTAGCTTCGACAGTTGTTCGATTTTCTAGTAGTAATGGACCTCCATACAAACGTCACTTCCAAGAAAGCAGGAATTAGAGACAATGTAATTCGTGTTTCTATTTCAAGATTTTTTAAACTGATTGCTTTAGAAATCTACTACTTGTAAATATTATGTAGTTCCTGGCTCAATTCATATGGAGTAGAAAAAAAAATTGTCCTTAGTACGGCGAAACTGTAAGGGTTAGGTGTACTGCTAGTTGCCACAGCTGGGACACATTAAAGTCATAGTTACTCGTACAATATGTATATCACATCTGCTTGTCGTTGCGTTATGATGGCCTAAAATCGGAAGGCCCAAGCCGGATTTGCCATAATGCATAGAATCGGCTATATCAGTACAGCGCATTCCACTAGTCCTAATCGACGTTACTTTGATAACCGCAACGCACGGAAGGCCGCCATTGAGATCGTAATCTTCCCTTTTAAATGCCGTGAAACGTTTCAATGCCATTTGCTCAATAAAAAAGTCTTCTATCCAGGCTGTGAAATTTTCCCTTACCCGCTCCCGTAGCCTTAAAATCACAAGTTAATGCAGAAAACTGATGATGCCAACACACTGCTCCTTGACAATTTGAAATTCCATTCTTGGGGTTGGAAATAAGGTAAAAGGCTTTTTAGCGGGTCGACGACAATTCCGCCAGGCAAAGATTTTTAATTGTGTAACAACCAAAATTCCAGGTGCTAGAAATTGGGGAACTTCTAGGATGATCGGGCATATTTTTCGTATCCTTTGTGATACCTGAGAACCTTTATCCTCAGGTGCCGATGGCTCTGTGCGTCTCTTTGATCTTCGAAACCTACTAACCTCAACTATCATCTACGAGAACCGCAACCGTACCCCATTACTGCGACTCGCGTGGAACAGGCAGGATCCAAATTACATTGCTACTTTTGCCATGGATTCCAAGGAGGTCAGCCATTGTTATAACCTCATCGTTCAATCCACTAGTAACGACCTTCAGTTTCACGTTTCTTGATGTTTCACTGTTTTGACACATATGCTAACTAAGTATCGGCGCAGCTTTTCCATCTCAAGTCCCTTAAATTCCTAATTAAGTGGTTAGTTGTAATTGAAAAAGCTTTTTTTAGAAAGTTCAATATTGTTACCAATGGTAAGTAGCCTGACTTGACTAACTACAGTTTACTGCCTGAATCAGTGACTTATAATAACTGGCCACTAAGATATTTCTGTTTCCCTAAGCAATCGTTCATTCTGTTTTAGCTGAGCGAAAGTGATATCCGCTCAAGAAATTTCTATTAAAAAGAAAGAAAACCACGAATAAGAGAGTAGTTATGGACGCTACAGTCGTTGAAACTGGAATATATTAGTTAATGCAATAGAATTGTAGTGACTCCGATCCAAGATGAACATAAATTTTTTACTAACATGATGTATTAGCCATTGTGTACTGAATTATGACGATTGACTGCCTACGAATAGGTAACAATTTTGGACCTTCGTGTACTCTCTACGCCAATGGCTACACTGGATAACCATCGAGGCTATCTCAACGGTCTGGCTTGGGCACCGCATTCGAGTTGCCATATATGCACTGCGGGTGAGGACTGTTTGGCGCTCATTTGGGATATTCAGTCGATGCCCAGGGCCATTGAGGATCCCATCCTCGCGTACACCGCAGCTGCTGAAATCAATCAAATCCAGTGGAGTGCCCTTCAACCCGATTGGATTGCTATCTGTTACCAGAACTCCCTGGAAATCCTGCGCATCTGAAGCCACGCCGCAACCACCGCGTTCCCCAGCACACTGCATACTTTTGATTCATTTATTGCCCTCATCATCCCGTATTCTCCTCATTTGACCTATTGGTCCCACGTCCTCCTCCCAACTCATACTTCCCCTAATATTAAAATCATGTTTTAGCCCAATCTAATATCAGTTCATTGGACGAGCACCAGCCAACGCATCTACCCCCAACTCATTCCCATCCTATTATATTTCTTACCTCGGTGCATTTTCTACATCGTCATCGATAAGGCTAAATTGATGATGGCGAGAGATTTGGCCCAGTTCCTGTAATTAATACGGCCAGTTTCCTTTGTTGGACCACCAACGGCAGTCGGCGGACCTCGTAACCCTTCCCGCACTATGGCCGTTTGCTGTGTGGGACACTACTTTCGACGTTTCTCCCCGCCTATTTTGTGCCGTTTGTACATAGACCGTACGAGTTGTTTTACTTTTGTCACAGTACCAGGTCTCTTGGGATATATCATTTAATTCGGCACTAATTTTTTTTTATTTTGTCGCGTCTGTTATTTCAATTTAGCTGGGTATTTGCAATCGGCTGTTCTATTGCGCCGTGTGTAGGAATTAAACCGAGAAAAAATGACCAGGGGCAAAAGCCCCTGCAATTTGGTTAACGTATCGTCTTGGTGGCTAATTGCGACTCAAACAGGAATATTTCAATTTTATTTTGGGATCTAAGGTTGGCTCTAAAGATCATGTTTAAGCAATGAAGCTAACATTTAAAAACCATTAATATTTCGGTCTACGAATAGAATCATGAATTACCTGATTCACGGACTAATCTTAGAAAGAAAACTAGCGGTGGCCCATCCAGAATATGAATAAATGAACAAAACACATGCCCGGTTTAAAGCAGGTTTACCTAAGTGACAAATTGGTGATATAGGTCGACGACCTACGTGAGACCTCCGAAATCTGGTCAGAAATACTAGCAAAGTAGGCTTGCAAAATCACATGAAAACAGAAATTTACCCACATAACTGCGGATTTAAAAAAAAGATATAGAATCTAAAATTGTCAGTAATGAAAATAGCACTAGGTCACAAGACAAAAATGATGTGTTACACACATTTATTACATTCGCAATTCTGTTTGTGTAAAAAGATCAAAACGAGTACAGCAATGACAAAAAAGTCAACAAAAAATACATAGACGTTTAAGTACCGCTACGTAATAAGTGGTCCCCATGACTTTGAGTTCATTAAGCGTGACTTATCGGCCAAATTAAGACAAGTTATCTGACAGCCAGGCACTAAATTCAGAGAAATTTATGAACTAATAAAATTTAAATATCTAAATGTTCCAGCACAGCAAATTTCTGTGGCATCCCTTTTTGTTAAATGTTTGCAAAGCAAAGTTAAATCTAATGTAACTTGCACAAAATTCTATATTTCAAGAATGATTGCAACTTAACTTTAGCGGATTCGGTTTGTCGGACAAACATTGGCAAAGTGCTAAAACATATAATTCATCTCATAAGACTACCGGATGCAAAAGCTTAAGGGCTAGAAAAAAATCAAAGGTTTACTGTCGAAACAGGAAGAAGATGGCTATAGGAAGGGTCTAGATTGATCCAGAAGCCCGTGGACAATGTCTGGTATGAGGGGATCGCGAAGACTTTAAAGGGAGTAAGGACAGACCAGGCAGGTGAGCGTTTGCCGAACGGCACAAGTCACACTGCCCTCTGCGTTCATTGTTCGGTAGTGAGTATTCAAGCCTCCAAAGTACTTTCGAAAAGGAGTTTCTTCAGAGATTTCTGTGCCAGTGTTGTACCGATAGAAATGTGACGTCAATTTTGATGGTGGGGAGGTCCGGACATAAAAGTTAGGAACTCTGCACATTTTTCGAATGGGGCTTTATTGAACACAGTGTCTTTTTTACCGTAGAGCATGCTGTTATCAAAAAAAGAATAATAATAACGACAACTCAGCTTTGCCTAAAAACTAAATGCACATGGCCAGTACACATATTTGAGGTTTGTATTTTTAAATGGGTAATGTATATTTTCGCCTCAGACCACACTACAGTGCATGAATTAGTTTACGCACTAAATTTTAGTTACTGTCAACTTACCATTTTATAAGCATGCATTGCTTATATTGCACTTTTGTCAAAGGTTGTAATTACTCATCGTCAACTCTGCAAAACATTAGTCGAGAATCGACTCACCGATTGTTGTGGCTTGTAAGGAAAATAAATTCAGTGCTACTAAGATCGGTGTTGTTTAGGATAGCACTACGCTAAGTATGAGGTTTCCTAGCAAATATTTTTTTGACTTGGATGATGACAATGATGAAGTTGGGCTAATCAATTTCTAGTTGCTTAATTAACCTTCATGCCCAGATTCTATCCGAATCCTTTTCTGAGAAACCCTGAGGCCTTGCCATCGGTCGATGATGTAATTATTTTATGCATGAAATTTACATAATAAGGTTTATAAAAAAGTTAGAGATAAATGCGTTTCTGCTATTCGTGGTCTGTGTACGTATTTGTACGAGCGAACAGGTTCCTTCGATTGGAGCGATCTGTCGACTTACACCGGGATATCAGGTATCCGCGTTGTGTTCATATGTATACCTTATATCGGTTCTACACAGTTATCCTAACACTGATATAGCTTACGGCGAGTCAGTATATGAATGTGCATTAAAATTACTGTTAGCGTCTTCGTTAATGCGTTTGCGAGTTCAATTTGATTATTGAAGTGAATAATTGCAAATTGAAACTTGTACCTAATTGCGCTATGGTAGCATACTGTCTAATGAAGTCACTATATAACAAAACGTATGGAGTTAATACATGGATTCGTTGCTATATCTTTTCAGGTTAGTGCGCATCTTTTGAAAGTATCTCTTTAGTGGCAATAAAAAGAGAAAAGGTTCGGCCATGTTATGCCAACATAAAATGTGAGAAACGTCTTTTAATTTCCCATAAAAGCCACTATGCTCTTGACATTTGCATCAACTTTAATGCATCTCACGTTTGTAGCTCCACTTATTGACCAGCCCTGTGTCGGTACTTTGATTTGGCTCTTCCACCTGTAACTTCATGTACTCGCGGTCAACTCTACCACTTTGCCTAAATGTCACTACCTAGGGTAGCGTTCATAATATTTGCTGTGCGTCGATTTAGGGGAAATTACGACATTATCGACAAACCTTGTTACTAGCGTCTACCATTTTGATTAGATGAATTTGCAGACATTTAATGCCGATTCGTTAATATTTTTCGTAAATCCATGTTTATGCCATATGAGTATGCCACATATTTTTCGTCCTGCTTCTAAATATGTGTAATCGTAAATGTCACATTCCTCTATTTTAGGTATCCTGTTTGTAAGTCTGAGACTACGAAATGATGAACAATTGGTACAGGAATGCCGATTGGACCGATTTATGAATGAAATTAACACACATGTAGCTGAGGTTTTCCGAAGACGCGACAAGTCCAAACTCCAAAAAAACATCAGCGTCTTTACAAGCAACTACACGGCTCCCTGTTTGATCGGGGCATTGTCAGAGCACCACAACAAGCACTCAACTCTCGGAATGGAAGCTTTTAGTGCTTACGTGAAATGTGCTAAATATGCAATGAACGAAATGCCGAACGAGGCTCTTTATGGGCGCATAGGATACCTCGCTGGATTGATTGCCCTGAGCGATGCGGGTTACCCAGTGGAGCAGGAAACAATACATCTTGTATGCGAAAGTCGTAATTTCCTCACATTATTTTCATCTCACAGGTTCTTGTTCCTTACCATTTGTTTATGTGTGACTGTAGAGCCATTTTCAATCCGCACCAGATCTCTAACAGGATTTTTGATGCAGTTTATTGCTCCCTCGTACTACATTTCTCCTCCACCTTTAGATTGTAGAGAATATTCTTCGTGAAGGTCGTTACTTGTCCCAAAAAATTGGTAAACGCCGGGGTGATTACGAGGAGTTAGTACAAAATAGACCGGACGCTCCTGCCCTTCCTCCACTCATGTTTAAATGGCACGACAAGTTTTATCTTGGTGCCGCTCACGGATTTGCGGGGATCCTTTTGACTCTGTTAAAGGTGTGTTAAGCGGCAAGTTGTTGTGAGACCATTTGATTCAAAGCTTCTTACGTACTATGTGTGTTTGCCCGTAAGGTTCATGAAAAACTGCCGAACGCTTTGCCAGAGGGGTCATTGGAAGAGTTGATCTTGCCAACAACAAAGTGGCTTTGCAAGCTTCAGCAGCCGTCGGGTAACTGGCCGTCAAGTCTTGGCGAGAGCTTGAATCGAGACAGGCTAATGCAGTGGTGTCACGGTGCCACGGGCATTGTGCCTTTGATGCTGCGGGCTTACAAAGTGAGTCATAAGCTCCCTTCTTTACGCGATTCGAGGCATAATCTGCCAACAAATTGAATTCTTTGATATGGTGGATTTGGTTTACGGAGGGGTGTTCTGACGCGTTTTAGAAAAAAGTGGGAACTGTGGTACATCGAAATGGAAATGCTGTGTGTGTATGTCTGCATGTATGTTGTTTATAAACGGTGTTGCTGTAAGCTTAATTATCATGGCTGCACTTTGTTAAGATAAATACCCTTAACAGGGATAGCTATGGTCCGTCGTGATGCATTTCCAACAATGCCATCATGTTAACTGATTCTTCGTAAATGTAGGCGCCATTATTTATGTATCATTACAAACTGGGGAACTTCACACGGAACAACAGACGGTGCGGTCCAAGTGAGTGAGAAATACACGAAGATGGTGATTGTGGGGAGAACAAATCTACGTGTTCTCTAGAATCATGCGGAATCATGACGCAAGTTTTAGTGGGATGTTGCATCTTTGTACGTCGGTAGCTATAAGTGTGGCGTTGTCACTAGTAGTTCACTTCTTCCTAGACCTTAAGAGGAATGGCTCGGTAAGCAGCATGATTGTGGCTTGAACTCCAGGCAAAGTAGCTCCCAGTGTCAACTACACCTCATTTTGGCAAGGGTCAAGAGGTTAGCTTAAAAGTATCATAAAATCATCACTCATAATTACAGTCGCTCAACTGGTGGATTACACTAATCTCTTTCATTGAAACGCTCGATTCCCACACCGTAAATCGTGGAAATTATGCATTGACTACAACTTAGTAAATCACGTGTTTGGTTATTGGTTTTTATTTGTTAAATCTGGCTTATTAACTGTCAGATACTTTTCCTGCCTTCTTGTGTCGAACATCGCCCATCTTCTCTCTGTTCTTGAGTACCACAAGCGGTAAGGAACCCTTTTTATTGTCTTCCGTGCAAATACGGGTAGATCTCGAGATCCGAATTTTATGGAAAGTGGAGTTGAGGCACTTTAAGTTTTGACTTACTCGGATCAACGGTTAACCAACCAGTATAATCGACCGAGTAATCACAGTAGATGAAGTATACCGCCGTGAACTTAAGTGTCGCATCTCAATTAAGCACATAGGAAGTCAGTACTCTGATTACCAAATAAGTAGGACACAAACGCCAGTCTCTGGTCTTTGGTTTCGTCTTCAGTTTCTTAGTTAGATCCTATTAGACCTCGATTTCCGTTAACTTTTATACACTCATCTAACAGTGCTATCTGATCACTTGAATTTAGGAGTGTGTGTTCTGCCGTACGATCTAACTTTAAGCTCGTGTCTTTGAGCAAAGCCTGGGGATTTGTGATTGGCTAGATGAAGGTGATGGTCTTCGACTGATTCAGTGAGAAAAATGCATCCTGTAAATTTCCGTGTTTGTCATTTTTGGAGCTTCTCTTCAGCGGAGTATGGTAGACATGCAAGGTACAGACACATCAATTTTATCACTGGAATTAGTGGTGCGTCGTTTTCAAAGCCTCCTCCGCATGTAACTGAGATTCTAATCAGTCAGAGACTGGTGCAAGTGTGATTACCAGGGGTGAGACGCCACCAGTCTTGGAGGTTTTGATACGGCCGTCAGTGATACGCTGACTGATTGTTGTATTCGTTTTAAGGTGGGCTTAACCGCGTGTTCACATTTGAACCTACCGGCAGTTTCCTCCATTTGCAGAAGTCTAATGCGTTAATTTTGTGAAGCAAGATGTAGCACTTTCTTCGTAATTATTAGAACGAGTTTGGATAACAGGAACTTAAGCAGATTTACCGGAATCGGACGCAACAAAGGCAATCCGGAACGTGAAACGATTAATGCAGGTTGACCTAAACAAGAAATATATTATGACAGTATGTAGCTTGGACATCAAAGGTTAAACAGTAAATGTGTACAACAAATGGAGAAGCACGCAGCCAGTGTTTAACCCGCCAACCGAGCGGGGACCTAAATAGGGAGATGACTGTTAGCCCGTCCCTCTTAGATAGCCACACCAACATGGTTAACTACCAGGCACACGATAGAAGAATAGCTGGAAGAACCGGATGTATTCCATACTACCGCATACAAATTCAGAGGGCTAGAGCTTAGGGGGAGTTAGAGTGGGGGAAGGGATGGCCGCGAGGAGGGTCGGCGTTGCCCTCGGACTCACGGGTGTGCTTTAAGGAAAGCTAGAGTGCGGGAAGGGAGAGGAGAACAAAGAACAGGCCAGACTGGCGTGCGTGGGTCGAATGGCTCGCGTCATAAGTGGCTGATTTGAATAGTGTTTCAACAAAACCAGTATAGTTGAAGAAGTGATAAGTTGAGACTAGCGTTTAAATGTTACAACGAGGGATTCATCTTTCACCCGCCACAGGCCAATACTGTGCCACACTGTCAAGTAAGAGGTACAGTAATCTTTGCGGAGCAGGACGTTGCTTTGTAAAGGGGCCGTTTTAGTTGTTATCCTTCATCTCAAGTGCTTGGATTTCGATATTTTTCCTGTAGGTGACCGGCGATGAGGAGTACCTGATTAGTGCGAGGCGAGGCGCCGATGCTATTTGGGAACGCGGTTTGCTCACCAAGGGCTGTGGTCTGTGCCATGGATCGGCCGGCTCCGGTTACGCTCTTCTCAGTGTCTACCAGAACACCGGCGATGCAAAGTATCTGACAATGGCTGCTGCCGTAAGTCTACATAGCATTGTTGCTATTTTGGTAACTCAATGTTTGCTGTAGATGCTTGCCCAGTTAGTTGCACGGTTTGGTTGAAGTCGCTGCATCCAATGTCACAGGGTCTGAGTGCGTCTTACAGTCTGTCAAAAATTTGGGCACGTATCACCTCCCTCTTCGTGTTTCAGTCTGTACTCATCGTCATTTCAGGTTGCTCTCTGGTGTGCAGATTACTTTACTCACGCCGAACGAACTCCCGACCGACCATTGTCGCTGTTTGAAGGTAATAGTTTTCAGTAGAAGCAGTATAACACGTTAGATAGTAGTTTTAAGTAGTTGTTTTTCATCTAAACACTTGAATTCTCCAGCCAACCGTTTCTTAAACCACTTGCTTTTCTTTAAGGCTTATCAGGCGCCATCTCATTTTTGTTCGATATGCTTCAACCTGGCAAGGCGGAGTTTCCTTTAATTAATTAATTAATCAGTTTTTCAATAAGCACTCAAATATAAGTATGTATGATTTTCCTTGGGATTTTCTCTAAGAAAGCCTCATCGTACTAACGTTTAAAGGCCTCGGAAGGCTGTGTATTTTAGATTAGTATCATTTCGCTCCGTTAAAACGATTAATTGCATAGTTCCATATTGTAGATGTCTTGCCGCTAGTTTAAATTTTCATAATTATCAGATCCTAGTTGCTATTTTTGCTTAAGATATGACTGTGTGAATGTTTCCACTATTGAGTTAGCGGTAGAGTTTGTTCTAAGAACTCATTTTGGATGATTGCACAGTGGCCGCCAGGGGTGAAGGTGTCAGAGCTGATGGAGTCTGCATAAAGAAATGGCTGAGAAAATTTCGCGATCCTCAAAGGAACCTGATGGTTGAATCTTGTCTAAAACGCCTGTACACTTTTGCCGAACTCCCCGGAAACCTATGCCTCTACATAACTTTTCAAAGTCATCTGTCAGCACGAAAATATAGATTTCGGCGATCCGGTGCTGAAGACCCGATTACATTTTTGCATAGTTAAGGCTGAGCCACAATCCAGGCGTTTAGATGAAGTCATGTAGAGAGAGAAGAGCGTTTTCTAGTACGAAGTCGTGTTCAAAACCAACTGGACACCTTCAAGGACCTTGATGTAAAGTTCCACAGACAGAATTGTCACTGAGTTTTTCGTCCTTTGCATTGATGGCAAAGAAGTTAAGCCATTTCTGCAAAAGAACATAAAAGTGGTGTACTCTTAGGTGGTACTTTTTCTCGCTAACGCGGATGAAATGCTCTGATAAGAACAATTAGCACGAATTACCAGGACCGTGCTTTAGGAATTCCATAGGTAAACAACTACGTGGTTTTGGGCGACATCAAGCCTTGTTCTTACCGTATGAGCCGAATAAAATATCTAAATGGGTTGAAGGAGTCAGGTGATCTGTCGAGTTTGGTCGCTGTAAAAACCTAGGTGGAGGTATATGAAAGGACAGCGTACTACATTATTTGTAAAATGTGTTGATGAAATTTTCGGCAGTCTAGCTATAGGTGGATTTGATATGGAGCATTAACCATGTCAAAGGACTGTTTGAGTGATGATGAACGGGGATGGCGAGTTAAGGAAAAATGTGGAAAAAATCAACCGAATTTATTATCTTTACGCATTTTAGCATCAAGTAAATTAAACCAAGCGAATCAAGGAGATTACCTAAATCGTCATGTTTGTGAGTCAACTGGTCGTGTCCGTGGGATGGTTCTTGCCCCACACATGCATTTGACACTATGCATACATAAATTCCTCTACATCTTTCCCAGCAACCAATTTTACTATTTTACACTGAAATTATCTACACTCCAAGGCCCCACTAGCACTATTTTTGCCACTCCGTAACATTCCAGGTTCAAATACTACTATTCGTGTAGTTATGACCAATAGTTGATTATGAGTGACGGTCTCACAGCATTGGCAGCTTAAAGATCACGTTCGGCAGGTACGTTACGATACCTTAATATTCACAATTTAACTTCTATTAAAATTAAAATAAAGTAGCAATTAATACTGGAAATGTCTATTACTGACAACTGGAAGGTGGATGTGATTTTTTAAGAAATTTAAAAAGTCTTATGGCAAATCACTTAAAAATTCTTAGCAGCTAAACTCAAAACATTGGCATATGAAGTTTATAAAGTAATGTCCCATTTTAATTGAAAATCGATAATTAGCACATCTTTATTTAATCACAAAAAACTAGGAATTTGGGGAGCTGTAATATATGATCCCTCAATATTATTATTATTAATTTATAGCTTCACTGACTTTTGATAAAATTGGGGAGCTCGTTGCGTTGAAGGCACAGTTCACTTGCACCGTAACGCCATTGCTGTAACTGGTCTCGATTTAAGTTTTCACTAAAATTTGATGACTAGCTACCCGAAGGCCGCTGAAGCTTGCAAAGCAAATTTGTTGTTGGTAAAATCAACTCGTCAAGTGACCCACTTGACAAAGCATTCGGCAGTTTTTCATGAAACTTATTGGTAAACGTTGAAGTTACAAAAGAAATACTGACCAATGTGCCATGGAGAAAGTCGCAAGTTGCAAGGTTTCTGTGAAAACATGAGGCATGCTAAAAATGCAGGATTTGCATTCAATCGATTTTCATTTGTTTCCCTCACTGTATCACTTGACGTTAATAAAGTTTTTAAGACGAGTTTTTATAATTATTAATTCCTTTTGAAAAATTATTTGTCTTTTTCTAGCAACAATGGATGTTAGCTCAATACTATTTATTCGACTGTGCTTTTTTAAATGCTTGGTCGGAGCCCTATTTTTGCATGTGCGGCTTTTATGATCCTCCAGGGCTTTTGAATCCAGAGCTCATTTTCGTGGTCTTCATTGCTTTTTTTTGTGAGTGCCATTTTTCTTATTCTAATATGTTACTTTTAATAAGCCATGCAATTTAATTTTGTCATTTTACACTTTGGTGTTAGTTCATCATCTTGTATGTGATTCTTTTGTCTGTAATCATTTTTGAATGTTTACTTTTTCCTCTTGCGATTTATAAAATACAAGAATTAATTTTTTTTATTAATGAGTGCATTTATATTATTATTTTCTAATTTTGGCTGTATTGTGGGTTATTTTCCCTTTGCAAAATTGTCTGTTCAACCCAGATGTACGTAATGCGCTCTTTGATCAAAGTGTTTTATGTATGTCAAAGTAATACATGGTGTCAGCGTATTAGGGCAGTTTTATGTTGCTCCACTCCACTTTAATTGCTAATGGTTTTCAATAGATGGGGAATCACTTCTTAGTGGTGTTAATGTGATTTGGTTGTGTGTCCAAAATATTATAAAGAAGGTCTCAAATTTTGGGCGAGTTCCCATAGTCAGCAACGCTTAATTGTCTTGTATTTTTTGCTAGATATTGTCAACTTTCTCTGAAATTTTATAACATTGCGTGTTTCCGATTCACTTTGCGATTTAGGATTCATAGATTTCCTGCTTCGTGCTCGATATGATTCCATCATTCTAAATTCGCCACCTATCATCTATCTCCCTAAGTCTCATTAAAACGTGGGAGATTTAGTGCTGAGTATACAAAATTCCAGCGCTTGTTTATGTGACTGACTTAGAATTAAAGATCGTAAGTGCAATGGACCTTGCTCTCTAAATCTCCTTACATATATGGAAGTTACTAATAAGTCCAAAATTGTTTCTTCACGAAACTAGATTATAGGATATATATGCGAATCGGTTGTGTATTTTTTGTATGTTTTTTTGACATTCGGTCGTTATCGCGTCATGGTTTTGATAAATTTCAGGCTGTTTGAAATGTTAAACTCATTTTAAGTGCTTTGCCTTTCGACAAAAATCAGTGAATACCCATTTTTCTCTTTACTTCGCTTCCCAGTATCTTCTTTTGGTTTTCTAAATAGGCATAATGGCTTTGCACGAACTCCAGCAATGTCTTACTCTCCTCAAGCAAGCTTTGCATTGTCCAATATGGTAAGATTTCTCTGTCAGTGCATCGAATTTTCAGCTTGGACGATTTAAAGTCACCCGTTATTACGCCATGTGCGCATATTTTCTGTAACTTTTGCATTACACACTACACAAGCACTAAACGCTCCGTCAAATGTCCTCTTTGCAATAAAAGCATCACCAAAAGGTTAGTTGTCACTTTTAAGACATGTTGTAAGATCTCTCTCTTCAGCCGATAAAGTTAAACAGATTGCCGCGATTAGCCAAGAGATTTTTGAAAACTTTGCCGAGGAAAGTCAAATTTCTTGTAAGTTCGCTACATTTACATGCATTCTTTTCAGTTGTCCCTGTAACTAAATTCGATCCTATCCACCTGAGTCAAGAATTCAGCCAAAGACCGGTAGGTTTAATGTACTACTTACGTAGACTTGTCTAGCTCGGAGTTTCTGAAGTCACGCCAAAGTCGTTAGATCCTGTCGTTTCACTCCGCACGAAGCCGCGTGTCTCCGCTCCACCGAGACGCAATTCACGGCGGAGTCATCCAGGCGTGAATAAACGATCGGCAATTGCGCTAGGCACCTCCGCCCGTGTATTAAAACACAACAGGCTTCTTAAGTCTTGTGAACCCCTGGCGGCTGACGATGATGCCATTGAATCAACGCAACCAATGGAGACCTTGTGTACGCAACCCATGGTTGACGTCGAATCCGCTGATCAACTCTTCACCATGACCCAGACACCCCTTCCAATTGAGGCCACATCGGACACACTTGAATTTCCAGATCTGTCACACAAACGACATAGGGGAAAACCTGCTACGAAACCAATGCCTCCCATGCAGCGAGCTGCATCAGAAACTGTTTCGATGCGAAAGCCCCCAACAGAGGATGAAGGTGAGACGCTATCGTCTAGGCGGAGCTCGAAGCTCTCTTTCTCGTCTCTCAAGGGACATTCTTTCCTTCGTGGTTTGGGTTTTGGCAGACGGCGTCACCGGAGTCAGTCTGAAGAGTCGACTGAGTCCTCTACGAGCTCGTGCATTCCTCCACTTCGTGACCGCCTTTCTGCTGCGTCCGCGACCACTCCAAAGAGGAAAAAACGCAAAACGAATGACCTCTATTCCCCTTGGCTTAGAGGTTCTCGCTTTCGGTTCTTAAAAAAATACCGTATTGGCTCCGGCTCAAGAAGGTCGCGTGCTTCCCTCCCTCCATCACGGCTTTTCAGTCCCGGTTGGTCTCGTATCAAGGGAATAAGCGCTGATTTCGGTAGACAATCTAAAACGCAGTTGCTTATCCGATCGACGAAGAAACGTGTGCCTGGAGAAAGCGGCCTCAAGCGTCGCCCTATAAATCCAGACCCACCAAAATCAGGTCCCGTCTGTCCATTTTTTCTGCCTCTGAAACGCCTAGGGCATAAAAGTACCCAGGAAATGTGTACATCATTTGTTTTATGTAGCCAGTGCGGTTGTCGTGCCACGGTCTTCTCAGCAAGTGAAAAGCCCTTCAGTATGCCAGCGCCCTGTCCTATTGTCCACGATAAAGAGGCCTATTGGCCGGAATCAGGCAGGGAACTGCCTCCCTGTTCTGCTGACAGGTCGAAGCGGCTGGAATTTTCGCCTGCACCAACATCCGTCGTCACTATACAGCCTTCTTACATCCCACAAAGTTTTAGCATGAATACGGTTCAATTGGGTAATGATGAAGAATCAATCGCAGCTGAAACCAATAACGCTGAGGTATTGTTCCTGCTACCTAATTTTATGACATTTTATCGAAACGCTGACAATGAGAGTTTTGCTCTTTTAGCCACTATCCTGCTCAACTCAGATGGCTTTATCCTCAGTAAATATTCAGCCGTCTTTTGTGCCACAGTCGTTTAGTGTGAATACTTTCACTTCAAAAACAGAAACGCAGGTAGAGGTGAGGTCGGAGGCGGAGTTTGATCATCAGGTACGTCGCGTGAATCGCGTAATCTTAAGGAACCATGTTTTAGTCTTCTTTCTGAATGCATTTCGTTGATTCACTTGTTCTAAATTACCATAATGCCTAAATCGCCTACCCCTCTTGTGTCCTCTTTTGAATGAGTTTCTTTTTCGATGAATAAAAGTCAACTTTTGAGGTCTCATCGGTTCGCTTGCATTTAGTCTTCATTAAACTTTAATCATTCTGCTTCACTTTAAGCGCTATTAGTGACTACGTGTAGAAAACCTCGCTTTCTAGGTCGGAACCTTCAGTACTTGGGTTTTAGACCACGTTGCGATTCCCTTTTGTTTGTAATAATTCTCCACTACTGAATCCTTTTTAAGGTATCATCAGGGGACAAATCTGGCCAATCAAAAATGGCGGTTGCGGCAGATCCCCTGAGCTTGTCTATTTCCCTAAGAGACACACCGCAGACACCTCTCCCTCAAATTGGCGCTCCGATTGTGCCGGAGACCCCCATCCAACCTGAGGTGACGCCCCTAGGACCAGTCACTTCGCCGAGCCCCGTTGATACCGAAACGCGTGACGATCTGGCTGGTTGTAAACTTATATCAAAATTTGTAAGCCTATCATTCTTCACACGTTGCAAACCATTGTCCAGTTACGAACGTTAATCGATAAGGCGAGACTTACAGACGTTTCCCTAGCCCTTCTCATTGTTGTATTTATGCCTGAGTGTTTTGCCTCGTTAGTGTTGACACCTTGTCACTGGTCCTAGTGACGCAGATTTGAAGCTGTGGTGGGTCCATTCAAATCTCTGCACTAGTGTCATGCTGTGGTGTCAGGTACGCTCGTAGTGATGTTCCCTCGTCCATATCGCAGCCACAGATGTTCAACGAAGGGGTGGATTTCTTTGTGAAGACGTAGTGCTTGATTGAAGTGGCTTTTTGTCCCAATCGACTCACAAAAGACTAGGGTACTCATACTTGTAACATCCCACAATCGTAATCGCGCCAACATTTGTCTCAACAGGAATTGGAGAACATTAGCCGAGAATGTGCGGACCTGGAGGAGGAGGTGACGAGGCTACAGCAAGAGCTAGAGGATGAGGCCCTCGACCCAGACCAAATTCAGGAACTTCTTGCCAATGCAGGCACCGAAACGGAGCAGGTGGAAGACGAGGTTATCTCGGCATCTCCCGTTCCCGAAAATGTCGATGCCTCTCCAGGCCTGCCTGCAACTCAAACACCCAGACCCTGCGATTCAGCCGCCCACAGCGCGGAGTTGAATAAGCTTGATATGGTTGGTCATTGTTTTTCCTAAAATTGATATACGCAAGAGATCAATCATTTGTGTTTTCATCTTTGAGTAGCGTAAAGGACAGCAATATCTGCTTTACTTTGAAGTTCGACAAGTCTTTAATCTTCTCAAAAGCTGCTGCCAGGACACCTGTGCTTGAGACTAAAATTTTGCCCTAAGCTTTATTTCTACTTACGCATTCAGTTAGTATCTCTTTCATAGGTATGATTGTCTTTTGATTGTTGCGTTTTATGGTCTTCAAGGCCATGGTAGTTTCACACTTGGCCTATTAAAAGCGTATTTCTTTTATTTTTAAGCATAGCTTAATGCTAGCAAGCCGTAACTCAGTACCACTTTTGACTGTTCCACAGTCCTATCCCCATTTTTTTCAAGTGTTTGTAATTAAAAATCGAATCAGTGGTCATGGAAATTGACCAATCAAAATTGCTTCCATGTAGTGGATTTGAATACAAGCGGAACCACGACAATTTCGTGCCAGATGTGTTATGCGGGGGTTGTGATTATCGTGAGACAACTTATCGCTTTATTGGCACCGTCTTCTAGGTCATTTTTGTTTGTCCACGATCTCTCAACTAAAGGATTCATATAACTCTTTTAACCTGAATGAATGCACAAGTGAAACAAAAGCCCAACCAGAAATTTCTTCTGCTCAAAACCATCGTGCTTACAAAAGAACTCAACAAGTTGAGCTAATTTTTCGTATTTCTCTACGTGAATCGTGAGGTCTTCAAAAGAGGGTGTTTTTTGCAAATACTTGTCCGTTATACCACAAAATAGACTATTCTAAACAACGATCACAGCACTTATTCCATGCCACCCTGGCTCTCTTCATAGTTAATCTTCTTTCTCTTGTTGTCGCGTGATACGTCACGAAGTTTCCAAGTTATGGTGGGCCGAAAGTCATACTCGCAAGCTCGACTAAGCCAAAAGCTGCAACAATAGTCCTTTTGGCATAGCGGACGGTTCAGCAGGGGTTTGATAGGATTCTCGGACAAAATTCTAACTTAGATAACACGTTTCTCCCGTGTTAGTTGGACGTAGAATCGTGTGGTGATCGAGAATGGTAATTGCACGGTAATCACCACACAGGCCTATTTTCCTTTCGTAGAGTTGTAACTTGATTGACTGGAGTCTTAAAGAGTACTTGACAAAGTCGGTTCGGTGGTCAACTAATCTCTAGTTTCTGAGACCGATGACAAGACCAAAATGCTTTTGGTGGTCCAGGCCTATGATTGGGTGTGTAAATGCCTCGGTTGTGTAAATCCAGTGAAACTGGCATCGCAGTCCAAAGTCGAGAATGAGAGATTATTGCTTCTAGGCAGAGATTGTTGAACCGTTGGTTAGTAAACTTAAAGGTTAGCGATTGAGTCGATCAGGACCCGCACAACAGCTGACAGGCCATGGCTCAAGTGACCGCTTGGTTGAACTTGAGGCCGCATTCGAACACGGAAGCTCGCACTGGTACGCCACACCCCCGAAATTCGCATGAGACTGGTTGTGTGAAGGGCCTGTGGAGAGACTGAGACGTTTTGAACTGGTGGGTGGTTGTATCTTTTATGTCGTGGATGGTTGATCTTCAAAGCTCTCTTAACTGATTGCGTCTGGTGTGGGAGTGCTTTCGGGAGCCCGCCTGTTCAACTGCATTCGCGTGTGAAAGCGAAGCTTTTTGACAGTCTATTATTTCGGTGGTTTGTTACTTCTAGTACGAGGTCTTCTGTGCCTACCAACTAGTTGAGGGTTGAGATCTTGATTTGATGGTGTAACATTGGTTTGATAACTTCTGATATTCGTTCAGGGGGAAGTCATTTTGAGAAGGTGCCTTGTGATGAGGCATCGCCCCTCGCAACCTACCAGTCGAGAATGTTTCGACGCAAATTCTGTCATCTCATCCCGAGGCAGTAGCTGGTTGACGCGTTCCAATATCGCCAATCTTCAGCTCATGATGGTGACGGTCCATATTGCGGCTACCGATTTGTTGTGGTATGGTACGCCACGAGGTACCTAGGGAAGAAGGGAAGTTTGATGCCAGAGGAGGACTCAACTGTTCACCAGACCACTCCACCCATGCTTTTGTTGAGATATTTTGCAAAAGTGGTCGCGCATGCTTACAAATCACAGCGATGCGCGGGAGAGGACATGACCAATGAGGCTCACGGGAACTTGTAAAAGTGCAAATGATTGACAATATGCTTAGCGTGACATCTGATAACACCTGGTTGCACAACTAATGTGGTCTCTACGACACACGTGGAGATAATGGCCTTGAATTAACGCGATCCACCACGTTTTTACACGCAACATCGTGTAATTTTCTGAATAGATGTTGGAATGCTGTTAGTAAGAAGTCACCATATGTCACTGAAATGCACTAACAAGGACATTTTAGGCACGCGATAAAAAACCACGTTCTTTTTCAATTGAAAAACACGTAGGTCTCAGACGCAAATGCAATGGAAGATGCCCTGGACGTTATTCCTTCTTCACAATGCGATGAGGAAATGGAACCATCCACACCTCCACCGCCACCACCGGAATCTCCTCAATCCAACGAGGAACCAGAAGACGAGCACGAAGCTACTCGTGCTGCAGACATTGTCCCTGCTCCCCAGACGTCTGATGAAGCTCCAACTGCAGTAACCCGCGTTGAGAATAGTCAAAGCCAGTCGGTGGCCGCGTCGGAGGTGCTCTCGATGTCTATGAAGCCGTCCGACACCACAGCCGCCGACACAATGCCTTTTACCCAGCCTCCGGAAACTCACCAGCAGCAGGTAACCAGTTTTATCGCGGATACTGAAAATCTTGTCGCCAGCATGAAACAGGAGGACGAGGCAACTGCACCGACAATTTTTATTACAGGATCGAATCTGTCCTCCGAGGAAAGTGTATGTTGTTTTCTTTTTTTAAATATCATAAGGTCAGATTGATGCTTTACGTTTGAGTATCTCTCTGAATCTACCTTGTTTTTTTGTGTTGAAAAAAAAACAGAATTCCTTGCGACGCTTCTGTAGCCAATTTAATGCCGTGGAAGACCCCCGTTTCGTGCCGAACCGAACAACACACGTTGTTATGGCGACAGAAGCGGCACGACCGCGGGTCACCCAACGGACTCTCAAGTACTTTATGGGAATACTTCATGGAGCCTGGGTGATCAATACTCAGTGGCTTCGCAAATGCCTCCTGGCCAACACCCTGCTCTGTGAGGTGAGTTTCATCGGTCACTAACTCGATAGAATTAATCTACACGAATTACTGGCTTCCAGCTGAGCCTTCGTTGGATTGTATCATCCTAGTGAAGCATATTCCTGTCGGATTAATTTGGAGCGCTGGAAAGTTTTCTAGTGAGTAAAGTGTCTTGAACTGGGGTCGTTCAGTGCAATGCTGAGGTCCATTTACGTCGGAGCGCTTAACTTAGTGAGGAAGATGACATGCAGACCATGTGCTTTAAGTGAACGTCAGACGCAGTGAATTATTATTTTTTTAGTATTTTATTTAGTATTTTTATATTTTCCGCTTCCAGCCTTGTAATATTGTTCGAGGAGTTGTTTAAGTGCATAAGTTTAGAATGCAAAGTGCGATTCTGGGTTTTATTTCATAAATACTACCTATCGCCTCGAATGCTACTGCTCACCCCGATGATTGTGCATATTTCAAGGTGGATTCAAGGGAGACATCCTCTGAAGTCGTGTTCTTGCTGCTACAAGTCAAACCCATTGAAGGCACTCGTCGTCTGTGATGGCGAGATTTTCTTACACCGCGATCCATGAAACAGAGATGTCAGATGCCGCTACTTTTAAGCTGATGGCAATTCCTTTTTCTTTTCCAAAGGAACCTTTTGAGATCCAAGGGGACACTGTGTGCGGTGACTGTCACGAGGGGCCCCGCCGGGGACGACTTCGAGTACCGGCGATACCGCCAATCGCGCGCCCACTGCAACCCCTCGGAGAAAACACGCAGTCCTCTGTAGGCACGTCGGCCGATCGGCGCCCCTTCGTTGGCCTCATGCTGTGTGCCTTTGGCGAAATCGGCCCACTCACCACGGAGGAATTCACCACTCTGGTTCGTGCTGGCGGAGGCACTGCGTTAGCCGAACCCAAGCATTTCCTCACGCTCGCCGGTGGCTCCCCTCCCTCGGCGAAGCCGAAAGGCCTCAAATGCATGATTCTCACGAGCTCTGCGTCTCCCAAGTTCAATCTCGACCGGTGTATAGGTAGGATATGTATTTATCACAAGCGCCAGGTTCAAACGCTTCGTGCAACAAGTTGCTCACCTCTTAGTGCTAACGCCCTATTTTGTAAAGACCCTTTCCCTCATCGTTATCGCACACGTGGTCCAGTTTAATTTCTGTGGATCGTTCCACCCCGTGACTGCATTTCAAATATGTAACTTGCGATCTTCTGCATTTGCTTATAAACGTCCCAATATTACCGTTTGCTAGCTTTACAAACTATTTGGAAACATGTTACTACGTTCGTGCCTTCCCTAACTCATTGTACCAGGACTTGTAAATCCGGACCGCTCTACATAACTTCTACTGCATCATTACCGACTTCGTCGAACGCGGTTTCGTGTATTAAGTGTAGTTACAAATCAAATGCAAGCAGTTACAATTGAAAATCCTCAGGGCATTAGGTGATACTTTGCTTTTATCCAATGTTTCGGTGCTAAATCCACTCTTCCTCTACCGGTGACTGCAGTTTCTTTGAAATTTGACGGCCCGATAACCGACTCCGCGTTTGGTTGCACTGACAATTTGTCTCCAATTCAATGTTTTTTTTTTCGATTTATCGTTTTAGACTTGTACACCCGCCACAACGTTCCAATAATCAACATAAATTGGCTGCTCAACTCTGCCTCCGTTTACCGCCGTTTGCCGTTGAGCAAAGTTTATGTTATATACCCCGTTGATTGATTGACTGACTGATCGATTGTTTGATGCAAGGACCTATTGTGCTCGACCAGACGTTTCTACTTCACTACCACCGATTTTATTATCTCCCTAAGTAGTATGTGCTCTAATTTATTGAAAGTATTTACGTAAAATTATTCAAAGAATTTTGGTCTTATATTCTTATACTTATACTTGTTCAGAAATGGTTAACGCGTAGATATGTATATACCTAAGTGCAACTCACCTTACGTCATAATCTTCGCGTTGGACGCATCCTTATTTCATGAAAATCGAAGAGTGGCGTTCTGGATATATTTGAGGCCTCAGATGTTGGTTAACGTTTAAATGTCAGCTATAAGCGAAACATGAGTGTCACGGGTAACGGCCAGCTGGGTTACGATCTGAACTTCAGGAAATGCTAAGTACTAATAAATAGTGCTTGCCATGATAACCAGCATAACAATATAAACCAGTGGCTATGAATTGACATGACTACTTAAATGTCACAGTTTCGGAACTGTAACAGGATTCAGTCAGAATGCACGCAAGTCCAAGTAATTAGAGCGGGTGATCTTGTTCACTTTTGTTTCAATTCAAAAATGGACGCAAAAAATTAACCTGTGTATCCGTGCACAGATTTATTGCACAAATTCAGAAAACTAGAAACATCGGCAATCGTAGGACAATGTCACCGTTTGCACCAATGAGATGCTTTGATGCAATTTTTGTCGGTGACGAACAAGTTATGGAAAGGGTGTTTGCCTAGTTTGTGGTATCTGGCCACATATTAATCTACTTGTATCAGCCAGCATTCTTACGTAGACATTTCAACCAGATGATGTTACATATTTACTTATTCTGCAGAAGGTTGCTAAACACTTGCCAGTGCCTGGACAAATGTATCATGATGCCGACGATTCGTAGGTTAGGCATCCTTGGTTTCTACACGTTCTCACAATGTTGAATGAACAGGCGCTAACTTGATGATGATGTCCCTTCAAATAAAGCTGCGACTATGGTATGGACGAGACTGCACAAATGCATTCTCACAAATTTGTTGTTTCGCAACTGGAATCAATATGCAAGCA